GTACTGCTCTTTCTGCCTTTTGTGTGGCAAAAGCGTGAAAGTGAAGCTTTGTGCTAGGAGAGCATTTGTGGCTACAAAACCCCTCGCATGTGTGATTATGACGCTTGAACCACTCAAAACTTTCAGTGACCTTTACTCACTATATGGCTCTAACAACAGTAACTACTGACAAGCGCTTCCACTGAAATGTATTGTATACACAACATTGAATCATACACCACTTGTAACAACGGCAAAGTACAGATACAGTATGGGCCTCTTTTATAAATCAGTAAATTACCTAGACAATTCAAACTCACAAGATCAGTGTTCATCACTGCAAGCTTGTAACAAACACAACATAAGAGCCTCCTTATTTTACAGACCCCAAACAAATGTCTCAACAACCTATACAGTCAATTTCAAATTAGCACCTGGGAAAATGTATTTTGTCCCATTTTTCCATCTCATTTTTAAAACACGTGTGTGTACACTTGACAGGGTTGTGTCTGCCCCATGCGTATAGGCCATGACATCCCAACATTCACTGCTTGACTAAGAAAAATACTACACATAAGGTGCGGACTGCGTTTTGATGCAGTACAGTATTTCAACTTCCTCACTTGCTTTTAAAGCAAAAAGATATCTGATCTGGGATCTCTGCACACAGAGCAAGCCTGAAAAATGCGCAGCCTATCCTCACCACCAGCAGTACTGCACAACAAATACATACTATCATGTCTGCATCTTTCCCGAAGGCTCTGGTACAGTAACAAAATCAATGTCACAACACTCATGTTCTACTGTACCCCCTCTTCCTTCCCATCGAGACTACAGTGGGCTAAAGAGCTCATGGGATTCTCATGCTAGTTAAAGAGAACGGGACTTTAGACAGTCACTGCTTAACACATTATCGAAGCTGAATCTCACGTGACATCTTCAGCAAATGTAGTTAAAGAGATGCTTTACCAACTGAAACAAACGCCACAATTAATAAATATCAGCGCAGAATGAAACCGGTATAATCAAGAAGCTTTCATTTTTTTTTTTGCATTCAAGTTGCGTGCTTTGGTATTTGTGTATAGCAAATGGACTATACAATGATATATGGCCCGAACTACTGATGTGATTAGCATCAGCAAATAGGTGAAAAGATAACTCCTAACAGTTCCTTTGAGGCAGAATTCTCTGTCATATGAGAACTACATGACTGCTGGGTTATGTCCTGGCTCCCCCTGCGACCCTGTAGTGGATGAAGAGATTTAGAAAATGGATGGACGAAGTTGAGTGCCACTCTCAACTGTTAATCTTATCTGCTGTTTTAATTTATGGTTTAAGCTCAATTACAGGCCTTTAAAATCCATCAGCTTCAACCAGGCAATGCATAACGAGTACACTGCACCAAGCTTGGCTCACAAAACAGAATGGGCAAGCAATTATCAGATGCCTCCATGGACGTCTAGGATAGGAGATTCATTTCTCCCTTTCCTTCTTTTCATTTTCCCTATTCATTGATCGCTGCATGCAATTCCACAATCGGAAATACCCTGCCACCTGGTGACAAACGCGCTTGTCGCTCTCCTGTTGCTGCAGAGAAACAGCTGCCACTTTTTCTCGTCAGGGCACAGACCCAAAGCAAATAGGGCTCGAGAATGACAAAGGTAGCACTGACACTTTTAAAACTGACATTTACTTTAAAGCCTTGTAAAAAAAACAAAACAAACGTCAGTATTTGTTTATTATTTGCCAACTTGCTTTGTCGGAATCGGCACTACCTTAAAACAAAGTGGAATGTGGCCTGGCAATAAATTCAGAGAGGGAGATCAGGCGTTGTTCGCCATGAAGAAGGCACAGAGGTGGCCTGGCACTCTCCCCAGAACGAAAACGACCCCCCAACACCTCCCATCCTCAACAAAGACCCTCTACAACCCATGGAGAAAACACATCTTTCAAAGTAACCTCCACTGTTCCAGATTCACACCTAGAACACAGCACACAGATAAGAGAACATCCACTGATCCTCTGCCCTTTAGTCGTACCGATAAGAAATCAACAAGACCCAGATCTTCCCAACATAGTGTCACCGTAACTACAGAACTAACAAATTATATGAATTCACGCGCTTTCCTTACCTCTATGTCCGTCTGGAAGTTAAACAGGTCTATTTTTTGCCAGTTGCTGCCGTCTAACGCCAAGACGTTCCATGCCTGTGGATCCCATGGAAAAAAAACCCAAAACAAATAAATATCATGAGCAATTAAATTGTAGCGGGTACAATGAAATCTAAACTTTATCTTCAGTTCAACAAAATGGGACGGTATTGAAAGGGGATGAATACCTTTGCAAAGAAAACAATGACGCTGCCCAAGGACATCCAGTAGTCGAATTGGGCAATACACGCTTAACGTATATCGGGTAAAAATGAATCATCTCTTCGGTTACTGTAGTGCACATCTTAGACTGGAATTTGTGATCACTAAAATTTCCCCATCCAGTAAAAATCACTGGAATTCAGCTAAGAACTGAATTCACCATGAATATCAGGGAACCTCTTTTAAAACAAGCATTTTAAGACACACAAGCAGGGTGGTGATTCAATAAGAAGACTAAACAAAAGTATCTCTTCACAAATGCAATTCACTTTTCACAATGAATATCTTTTATTTACACAATAATTCACACAATTCCCATTCTTTTCTAGATTCGTGCAAATATATCTGCGCCCCTGAATTGCACGTTTCAAAAGTCAAATACCCTGTAGAAAATGGGTAAAAAAATATAAACATTTTACATAATAGCAGAAAGGTATTAAAAACAAAAGTGTTTTTGGAAGGAGTTGTTTTTTAAAGCCTCTCGATACGAACACAAGCAAGGTTACAAACAAGGGGAGGTATTTTGGACCCATCGAGCCTGTTTGGTAGTGCGTAGTTAATTGATACAGGAGTCCCATCCAGCTGTTTCTTGAAGGAAGTCAGAGTATGGGATTGATCTGCATGGCTGGGTAGCTTCTTGCCCTCGGTGCTTCCACACGGTTTCCACCTGTGTCTTCTTGTTTATGTTTCACTGTCCATTTTGAAGAAATGACTCTGTCAAAATCTAAGACAAAGACTCTGAATGCTTGTGTCAAGTCCCCAGATAAACTAAAAAGGACTTGACTAAAATGTTTCCATTCCTCCTGCCTGTCAGTACAGGACATTACTTTAAACCCAAAAATGCACCTGGTTGATCTACTCTGAACTGATTCCACAGCAGCAATATACTTTCTTTGGAGCCCAGAATAGTGCACAATATTTTATATAAGATACAGGGGGTCCACGTCTAACATCTCGCCATTCAACATTGTTTCACACCAGCGTTGTCAATAAATTAAGGTACTCCCCAATTAGCAACGCTAAAAGTCTCTTGACTTCCATTGTTTACTGTAAGTATGTTGAAATTCTGCACCTCGTACCAACATCTTAACTACAGTAGATGCAATGAAGAGAAACATGCGGTTGATATTTATATCATTGTTTTAACAGCAAAGGCCTTTTTTAATATAGAAATGTCAAAGATAAAGTGTTTGTCAATGTTTTAAGAGAGTTTTATTAAATGTTTTTTAAGTTGTCTCTGTGCTGTTCAAGGGCTGACAGTCCTTACAACCATACAACAATTTTATATTTATGATCTGTAAGAACCTTCCATGATATAGTCACTTATGTGATGGTTTCAAATGCATTGCTCCACTTTACCCTATGTACTGTAATTGAAACAAACACTGCATTGCTGTTTATACTCTACAGGTTTAAGTTCACGAAGGAAACCTTGCAATATTTCATCACATGTGCTGTGAAAATCACCCCTGATCAGGGTACCATGTACCAGCATGAATCATATTGTTATGGTCACTTTCCTCCCTTAATTACATTATTTCTTATGGGAAAAAAATTCCCCAATTAGTGTCATTTATTTTAGTGACACAGCTTTGTGGTCCCTAGCCCCAATGGCAAAAGTGTCCCCTTTGTATACTGTACAGTATATACATATGTATACACATACAGAATATGTCAAGTTAAAATGTGCTTATCCCTTTTTTTACAAAGCCCTCACGAAACAGTTCTGTGCGCTAGTGCAATCCCGCATTACAAGGCTCCGAGGTAGGGAAGCCAGTGTCGGATGAGGAAAATGGCATCAAGTCTTCCTCATCAGCCTCCTGACGCTTGCTCTGTCCATACGACACGACAGGCTGCGATCCCGCATCAAACACAAAGGACCTTAGTTTCTGCGGCTCTTCCTCAAAAACATTCCCTTGAAAGCACCAGTTTCTTTCGAAACAGATCAAGGAAGCAAGCCGTTAATCCCTCAGCTTTCCCTGTTTGTACGGGCGCTTGTCCTGCGAGTTCTACGAGTGTGTTTTGTTTGCTCTTAGTGCTGCGGAGTATGTTGTGACAGCCGTTCCTGGCTCCTGCTCCAGGCTCTGTAGCCGAGCACTGTAGACGGCGCTGGCTCTGGTCCATGGACTAGGAGATTCTTGGCTCTCCCTCGACTGTGCCTAGTGTTACAGCTCCTCTGTGCTGTAAAAGCAAGCACTGTCCACTTTCAACGGGACCTCGGATGGATGGAGGGGGCAGCTTCGAAATGCAAAGGACAGCTGAGGACTATGAAATGGTAAGGACAATGAAAGAGAAGTATTTTGTTCTAATCGTTGCCTGACGCATCAAGACTTGCATTACCCAGCACTATCTATTTGTGTAAAGAGATTAATCTGAGTTGATAGAACTCAGATTATGAACACTTTGCCAGTTCATCTTCAACACACTGTTTTTGGTAGGGGTGGGGTGGGGGCATGGTGGTGCAGTGGTCCTGGGTTCAATTCTGGACCTGGGGTGCTGTCTGCGGGGAGTCTGCATGTTCTCCCCGTGTTTGAGTGGGTTTCCTCTGGGGGCTCCAGTTTCCTCCCACAGTCCACAGACATGCTGGTGGGTTAATGGGCTTCTGGGAAAGCTGGCCCTGATGTGAGTGTGTCCGTGTCTGTATCTGTGTG